CCTAAATTTTCTTTGTTATTTTATATTTTTCTGCCTTTACCAACATTAGGGGGGAAAATAAATCTACCAGAACAATATCCACTTTTAAGTCTGATATTCACATAATTGAGTAGACTTAGCCTGACTTTTTCCCTCCACAACTAAATCCTTTAGGATGAGCTGAGTGCCTAGGAATTTGGTAGTTACTGTGTGCGAGCTCTTTTAAAACTTCTCTGTGGTCATAAGCAGACATTTCAAATAAGAGGAAAAGTGTTAACAGGGACATTTCAAACTGATATATCTTGTTAATATTTTAATATGGTAGGTATGTCAGTCTACTTAGGAAACACTAAATTCCTTTGTTTTGAGTTTGAATACTGCCTTGATAGACTCACATGTCTTTCTATATGTTTAAATAGTAAGTTAGAACTTTGCTAAGGGTATTTTTTGACTCAGGCACCTAAACATATTTTGTTTCAAAATAACTTAGCTTTACCTCAATAATTGTTCAGTTTATTCTTACTCTGCTTGCCTTAAGGTCCATCTTGTAAAATAATTTTACTTCTCTTAATGAGGCTTTTACAAGAGTGTTATTAGAATAAGTGTAATATAACATCTTGAGTGGAAGTGATTTCTTTAAACTATTAATCTTGGGGAGGGAACAAAAAACTTAACATATATTGGAATTTAAAGCAAAAGTTTATTATGGTAATATGAATTTATAATTTCATAAAACATTTTTATTTTTGATCTAATCTAACACCTGTTTTCACATTTTCAGTGGGACACTCACTGTAAAGCCAAGTACCTAGTTTGTTTTCAGTCATATTCTTTTTGTTTTAACTTCTTATGTAGAAATAATTTTAGATATATAGAAAATGTGCAGACAGGTACAGAGTAGAGTTCACATATATTATGGTTTTCCTTCACTCAGGTGTTAACAACTCATATTCTTATCATGCCAGTACCCTAGGAGGATAGCTGTCCACACAGCCATTTTCTTTATTTGGGCAAGATGAAATTGAAAAGTCATAAGGTAGTTACTTCTCTCTAAAAAGAATTGCCATTCTTTTTTTTTTTTTTTTAACCACATTGGTTAATTCATTTATGAATCCATAGTTGATTTGTTTTCACTTTTTGCCTATTAGGAATAATGCTTCTATGAATTTTTGCAGGAACATCTGTTTTCACGTATATTTTTTTAATTTGTATTTTCTCTCTACATTTAAATTAATAATTAGAAATATTGGTAACTTTGGACCATCATTTCTATGTGTCAACAATGGTCTGTACCTGAGTAATGTTTAACTTTCCTTGGTGTGACTTACACTCTCCTGGTTACTATAGTCCTCTCTTGTGTGCCTTAAAATTGGCCTTAGTCCTCAATTACTTGACCTAATACTTACATTTTGTTGTTCTCATAGTACAGTTAAAGTGGAAAAAAAATGATTACATTAATATCTCTATCAAATATTAAAAAAAAAAAAATAGACCAAGAAAACTGAGAGTGGGACTATTTATTTGCAGAAGTGAAGAATATTCCTACAGTTAGAGAATTTCCAGTCTTTATACCAGGTCTTCTGAAGTAGACTTATGGTACATTAGTAATTTGCTTTCAATATACTTTTTAAAGCCCATGTCCAAAGAGTACTGTGGAGAAGTATGTGTGTATTGTTTCCTTTATTCTTTGTTTCAGATTTCTTTTATATAAAAGCTTTAGTGCTCTTTATGCTTCATAATCACTGTTTCTTTAGGTGCACATGGATGTCCTTACATCCTCCGAATCTTAGTGTTTTCACTTATTAATGACAACAAAGGTTTTTGAAAATCTATAGATTGCCAGACATTACGTATGTAATCTTCTCAGTAAGGTGTCTTTCTTTTCCCCACTCGCTCACTTACCCTCCTTCACTGATACTAAGTTGAGGGATCTTTTCACTAAAATGTTGGGGATTTCTTGGCCCTACCTATGATGTCAAGTTATTGAGGGTTCCCAGCATTAATCATTCTAAACATCATTTCAGAAGTGTTGTTTAAGCAGTGTCAGACATTTGTGGAGTCATAGGTGACTCTTGTTACCTGCTTAACATGATGTTAATTAATTGAGTTTTAATGTAGAATGGTTTAAAAGTTTTAATACATCATAAAACTCTACCTGATAAAATTAATAACATTATTTTTTAATCCTTACCTAAGGATTTTTTTCCATTTATTTTCAGACAGTGGAAGGGAGGGAGAGAGAGAAACATCAATTTGAGAAAGACACAATGATTGGTTGCCTCCTGCATGACCAGGTCCAGGGACTGAACTGCAACCAAGGTACATGCTCTTGACCAGAATCAAACGCGAGGCACTTTGGTCCGAGGGTCACTGCTCTAACATCTGAACCAAACCGGTCAGAGCTAATAACTTATTTTTAATATCTTTTGAAAGTTTCTCAGAAATGCAGTATTTTTTTTTTTTAAACAACCAGCATAGTTTTTACTCATTCAGAAAATTTGGGAAATTGATCATTTAGGATAATAAAGATTATGTTCCCATTTTAGTTTATTATTTCATTAATTTACTTTTGCCTACCATCTTTATAAAATACGTATTTTCCTGCTTTGGAATTATGCTTTATCCTTTTCTGATAATAGTCATTATGCAAATCAGTTATTACGCTGTTTTACTACTTTGCATTTTGATCTTTTAATATAATGAACCTAGTGTGTGCTATGAAAACTAAGATAATTTGGAGACTACATCAAGAAATTTGAGTCTAATAAGGGTAAATATAATGCTCTTGGCAGAAGGAACCCTTCCTGAAAAAGGGTGTATTTCTGGGTTAGAGTAGCATCTTTTGATTCTTATGAAGAGACTAAGACAGCTTATAAAACTGATAATTGGAACTAAAAAGGTAGTTCAACTGGTATAACATTAGTCCTGATTCAGCCAAAAGGTGACTGTATGAAAAAGGGGAATCAAAACTCTAAGATGCAGATGCTCTAAGGCATCTAGATGTCCATGTTCTTTGAGCACCATCCTACCAGCACTCTGTAATATGTTTATTCTTGCTCATATTTTTCTCTCTCCTCTCTTGCTGTCAGCTGTTACTTCTTGCTGCCAACAAACTGTCTCAAGATATTACTTTTTCTTCCTCTTTCTAATTAATTTTCCACTTCTAATCTGTTGTATACTTAGTTGATCTTTTTAGAATTATGTCTAAAGTAAGAGTAAATTGGCTCTGTGAAGGGCATTTTTGTGTATAAGGTACCCAAGACTTTTAACACATGTCGCTGGTAACATCTGGTCTTTCTGTTTGTCTTTTCGGGGGATTTTTCTTTTTTTAAGTTATTTTGTAAGTAGCCAAGATTCCCAAGTATTTGACTTCTGGAGAGGTAAAAAAAAAAAAATTCCTACCATGTTTTTGTTTATGAATTGTGTATTTTATGTACGTAACACTAAATACATTGCAAGTGTCTAGTATGATCTTCAGGTTAAAATTATGACTTAACCTTTTACTAAGGTTAATTGATGGTTAACAGGACTTCACCGTACAAACTTATTGACTTTGTATACATATCTTTAATCAGAAAAAAAAAAAAAATGAAACCCAGAAATTGACTGGTTGATCTTAGACATTAAAGTAAGAACTGTGAAATATACCCTTTGAAACAGTGGAAAGTAGGGGCAAGATTTTACATCAAGGAGACTCTTCCTGTGAATTTAAAGTTCAGTTTTCATGCTTAATAAGTTGTCTAGAGGCCAAATACAGTGTCAGGGTTTGAGTCTTTCCAGAAACTCTGTTTATTCTCTGTAATATTTTGCTTATTATAATTACTATGCTGTCTTGGTCTCTTGTGTGCAGTTACACATGTAAAATCTCCCACGTCTTTTGTTTTGTTGTTACTCAGCTTCTTTTATATTTGGTGTGCTTCAGTTCTTTGACATTATTTTCCAGAATTCTGTTCTGAAATAACTGTACAATGGTTTTGTTTTATAAAAACTTAAATTTGATTTCAGTCATGAAAAAGAATAAGAAATGTCCTTTATAATGTGTGGTTCTGTGAAATCTGAAGAATATTTCAGGCTAGAAATAGCCTCCTGTGAGTATGACAGTATTTTGTGTACAAGAGATTGGCTTCCAAAAATGCCACATTTTAAGGTTATAATATTCTTGGAAAGTGGGAAAAACTGTTCACATCAAAGAAGGCATTTTTATTACATTGGATTACACAAGACTTTGGCCAGCCTCCTTAGCTTCATCTGTTTAAGGGTTCATTTTCGCTTGTTTGGCACAAGTCCCAGTAGAGGGCTTCAGAATTGTGGTTAGCAACATGAATGAATCACAAACTTTGGACCAGCTCTTCAGTTAGTAGAGCTGGCTTCCTGCCAAAAAGACAGTGCCTTATATGGGGTCAGGGCAAAACTGAATCGTTGAGCCTTGCATTGTATAGAAAACATACTTGTGATGCCTGTTTGCTTTCTTTTAAAATAAAAACAAAACAAAACAGAAAAAGCAGCAGGCTTCCAAGTCTATCAAAATAGAAAGTAACAAAATAGTGTGCAGGTTTTACTAATGACAGAGTTAAGCAGTGGAAATGTAGCTAGCTCTGTATAGTTAAAATACTAAAGTAGAAGTTAGATTTTGACCTCTTAGCATCCTGTGATGTAAGAAACTAAAGCAGTTAGGCATCTACCTGCCCTTATTTTGTAGTGGCTTTAATAAGATTAAATAGCCATATGTTCACCTGGTTACCATGCCACTGAGTTTTGATACTGACTAGATACATTGAAATTAAAATAGTAATAGTTAACTTTGAATGTCCTGATTTTTTTTTAATTTGGAGTTATGTAGCTTTTCAGAAATTGAAAGGCTATTGGTAAAACAAGTGAGACTGAAATTTGCTCTCCACATAGTCATGACTTTTTGCTTGTATTTGTAGGTTGGAGAAAAGAGTCATTAGGTCTATCAGAAGGAAAAGTATTAAGATATTTTCAAATATAATTCACGTACCTTTGTAATTCCTTTTATTTAGGCAAATACCCTATCTGGATCTTCTCTCAGTCAGGCACCGTCTCATATGTATGGCAATAGATTAAATCCAAATTCTTCAATGGCAGCTCTTATAGCTCAATCTGAAAACACTCAAACAGGTAAGTTTTCAAGAATTTTTAAACTCTAAAATTCTGTTCCCTTTACCCAATGTAATTTTCCCTTCAGTGGCTTATTTTATTTGAAAAGTATAAAGGTGTGCTTAATATAGAATTATGCCTTTTTTTTTAAACTAGAAAAATCACAGTTGGAAGTAAATAGTATGCTGTGCTGCAAAATAGTTATGTGCTTTTTTTTTTTACTGTCTGAAATGTAAATGTTTAAGCAGAGCCATCAGCAGGCAGGAATGCAACAATGTCTCCTGTGACTTCTGTGATTGATGTGTTCAGTTCTCAGTTCTATGCAATGAAAGTAACATAACACTGGGCTTTTCGGTGAATAGCCTAAACCTTTATTTGCATAATTCATGAAATTGCATTACACAAACTTGGTTAACAAAAATCCTGTTAGAGAATTTCTACAGTGTTTAGTAGTCCTGTGAATTTTTTACCAGTTGACATTTTGTAGCATTTGCCTCTTGTACTGTTTTAATAAGCTGTTGGATTTGCTTTGTTTCATTCCATCCTTAAGGATTTGTTGACATGTTCAAGTAGTCATGCCTGTTTGGGGGAAGGGAATGGGTTTAGCAGTTCACCAAGAATGGATCAGTCATGTCTTTACCCTTTAAGGGTCATAGGTTACCTGACTCAGAATAAGGGGAGGACAACCTTGAAAGAGGCCAGATCGGGTGATTTTATAAGTAACTAACTATAGGAAATACAAGTTACTTTTCTAGCAGAGACATTCTATTACCTCAGTACTATTTTGAAGAAATTAAATTTTTTCTTTTTAAATACAGGATTCTGTGTTTCTACTTATTTTTTTCAATTTGTGTGTTGTTGTATGTAACTATTCTTGGTGTGAGGATCAGTGTAGTGTGTGTGTGTGTTTAATTTTAGTCTTGGTATGTGGCTCTATGCAGTACATTATGTACTTTATGTCCTTTCTTGGGTTGCAAAGTGTTAAAATACAAAGCGTAAGGATTTGCTGTGATAAGCATACAGATTAGCTGTCCACCGCTGTGATTCATTACTTTAACCGTAGAAATTAAAAGTGGCTGAGGGGAGGGTACTGCAAATGCAAACCACGCTTCTGTGCTGTAAAATTGAAAGGAATGAAAGAACAGAACATAATCCATGGCCTTCTACACCCACAGAAACGTGTAGGGACAACGCCTTACATGCCACAGTTCAACAATTCTAAACTAGCAATATACTAGATCTTCTACTTTCATAGTAACTACAAAGATAGTGGTAAAGGTTTTATGTATGTTTTAGGAAAAATCAGGGCAAGAGCTTAAAAACTCTTATCTAGTGAGTCAACTTTATCAGCTATGAAATATTTACACTGCAGATCAGGATCTTGGAGACAATAGCCGCAGCCTTGTTGGCAGAGGAAGCTCACCCCGAGGAAGTCTCTCACCACGGTAAGCATTATTTACACTGCAAAGTACAGGCAAAAGAAACATTTTGAGATTGCAAACTTCTTTATCTCATATCAGCAGAGTATACATTTGTGAGGCTATGAAAGCAATCTGAAGATAAGCATGTCTGGACAGTCAAGAAAAATGATTCTGAAATAATTTGAATATTAATTTAAGCAGATTTCCAAGCTTTTATAAAAGTTATAACTCTTTTAGATTTCCAATCAATTTGAACTCTCTTGTTTTTATTATTTATATATTTAGCTACTGGTACTATTAATGTATTAATTGGGGTAATTCTTTTTGCTCATAAAATAGTATTAAAATCCCTTCCAGTTTTAGTTAGGTTGTGGGCAGTCACTTAAACCTTTAGTCTCTAGTTCCTAACTTAGTAAATGAAGTTCTTGTTGCTCATCTCTAAAACCCTTCTAGTTCTTAAAATTATTTGAATCAAAGTATAGCAAATGTGTTACATTATACTTTGAAGTTGTCTTAGATATTATATGCAAGAATTCAGGTACCATTTATTAATATATAATACATGTGAGATTATTCCTGTTAGCAGGATACTCTTAATTAGAGTTGTACTGAAGGCTTGAATTTCTCTGAGCACAATCTAAGTGCCCCAAATCTTCTATTCTGAATGGGGAGAAGAATAGTAGGAAGTATTGTGTCAGTTTGTAAAAGACAATGGAACTTTAGGCTCTGGCTTTTTTCTTTCTTTCACTGATTTTATTCCACTTTTAACTTCAATACTTTCTCCTAGTTTCTCTCTGTTCTTGAATTTTGTAAACTCTACCTAAAGTATGGTATTAAAGTAGGTGAGAATGGAGAGCAGGAGGAGGAAAAGCCCCATTCTAGAGTCTTTTTTTCAACTATGAGAAACTAAAAATTTTCAACTCAGGGAATTTAAAAATTCTATTAAAAATTAACATTTTTATGTGATAGTTGCCATGAGTATCAATATTGCCGTGTTGCTGATATAGTCAAGGAAGTTCTGTTAAGAAACATATTTGTCATTAAAGAGATTAGTACAGTAACCTCTGATTTTGCTGTTTCCTGGGTAGTATGTCTAGCAGTGTCTTTTTCCTATATAATTATTGGGTGAACTAAAAGTAGTAGTATTTTTCCTAACCGAACTCTGTAGAAAATTAAATATTCTTTCTTTTGAAACTAGGAATATGAAGTACACAATGATAATGTCTGATTAATCTCTAATTTTATGCTGTGGTTACTTCCGTATTGTTTCATTCTTTGTTTGAAAGAAGAAAGTTAATGAATTTTTGCTCATATGATTAGTAGAGGAAGCATTTCTGTGTTCCCCCTTAAAACTTAAAATACCATACAAGCTATCCTTCATGCTATTTTGCTTGGTATCATTATTTTTCATTAGCTAAATGGGATTTAACACAATAAATGATGCAGTATTATTTTCAGTATATATTTTCAACTCATTTTTTCTTTTTTTCTTTATTGATTTGAGAGGGAGTGAGAGAGATAGAAACATCAATGAGAGAGAACATTGATTGGCATCCTCCTGCATGCATCCCACTAGGGATTTGGTCCACAACCTGGGAATGTGCCCTGACCGGGAATCGAAATAGCAACCTCTTGATGCATGGGTTGACGCTCAACCACTGAGCCACACCGGCCGAGCTATATTTCCAACTTTATATTACCCTTTAAAAATCAGCCTGAAAAGTCTGACCAAGGTGGCTCAGTGATTGAGCCCATGCGCCAAGAGGTCATCAGTTCAATTTCTGGTCAGGACACATCCCCAGGTTATGGGCCAAATCCCCAGTGGGAGGCATGCAGGAGGCGACCAATACATGTTCTCTCTCATCGATGTTTCTCTCTCTCTCTCCTTCTCTCTTCCTCTCTCAAATCAATAAAGAAGAAAAAAAATTTTTTTTTCAAAGATCAGCCTGAAATGTAATAGCCTAAATTATCCTGACATAATAAACTATTTGGAATGTGATGGCTAAATGTATGTAGCACATGATGTTTTCATATGGAATAAAAAGCCTCATTTGTTTAACTTCTTATTTTAAAGAGATTTTTCTGGAGAAGCATTTTAAGGCAGTGGCAAAACAATAGTGGGTTGTTAAAAGACCTGAGTTGTAACCTCAGCTCTTTCGTTTACCAGCAATATATGAGTCTTTGGACAGGTCACTCAAGCTCCATTTGTTTCCTCAGTTGAAATAGAGCCACTAAGCCAGGCTTTGACTTCTCACTAGGTTGTTGAGAAGATCGAGATGATTATGTAAAACATTTTGGAAATTCTAAAACCCTTTACTAATGTGTTATGTTAATAAGGAAGCTGGGAACCAGAAATGGCCATGTATACTAATTTGAAACAAAAAGTGGATGATTGAGAACATTGCATGTTCTTTTTTTTTCTTTTTTTTAAGACAGGAAGGGAGAGAGAGAAACATTGATATGCTGCCTCCTGCACTCCCCCTACTGGGGATTGAGCCCACAACATAGACATGTACCCTGACTGGGAACCAAACCTGGACCTCTCAGTCCATGAGATTATGCTCAATCCACTGAGCCACACCGGCCAGGAGCATATTCATCATAATATAAGTAACACTTGGTTTAGAGGTATTAAGTTATTGTTTGAAGTACAGATATGACATTTTACAAAAATTTGTATAGAAGACACAAAATTGCTTTGGTCTTGATAATGTTCTAAATATTTTTAAATTTAGAACTAAATTTTATTTTATTAATATTTGATTGAGATTTTGTTGGTTGTAAATTAAAATACATTGTATATTAAAGTAGATTTTACATTATTACAATTGCTCAGTGTTATTCTGATATTTTACATATTAAAGCAGAACAGTAGAACTTTTTTCTCTTCCATCTAGTTATATTAAAGTCTTTCTAATCCTGTCTTTTCCTTTTTCTTATAAACCTATATCAAGTTCTTTTATAGTCTGTTTCAGAGATTATTGGTAGTGTGTTTCTGTTTTCTAGTGGTTTTTAATTATTGAGTATGGCCAGCTTACTCCCTTGATTTTCCTATTTGAGGAGAAAGGATGATAATTACTAAATTTTACGATAGATTATGGTTTTATTGTTCTCGTGTAGACAGCTTGGTGTTAGAAAACTTGTACAGGAAAGGGGTCAGCATAAGGTGAGAAACGTGAATGGGCCTTCCTTCAAAGGGTTCTTCTGTTTAACCTGAGAATTAATGTTTTCAACAGATCCCCTGTAAGCAGTTTACAGATTCGCTATGATCCACCAGGCAACAGCAGTTTGGAAAATCTGCCTCCAGTAGCGGCCAGCATAGAACAGCTTTTGGAGAGGCAGTGGAGTGAAGGACAGCAATTTTTATTAGAACAGGGTACTCCTAGTGACAGTAAGTATTTTTTTCTTGTCTTTAAAAAAAGATGAATAAATGGATGGGTGGTTGAATCGACAGAGAGGCAGATAGATGCAGAAGTCACACTTCATCAATAATAGCAATGAAATTATGGTATATGGTTTATATATTATATGGTAAAAAATTAATATAGTGGCTTAATAGAACAAATTCTACAGTTTTACTGCTTGAACTTGAATCCTGTCTTTACCGTTTATTAGCAGTACGATCATCGGTAAGTTTATTAAATGTCAGTGTGTGCTTTAGTCTCCCATTTGTAGAATGGGAATAATAACATACCTATATCATGGTGCTGTTTTGAGGATTAAATGACATAAAAAATTGTAAAGAACATTGCTTGACTCATAGGAAGTACTTATCTATTCACTGGTTATTGTTACTGTTTTTAGTAATTATTATAATATTGATACATTGTTTCTCACTGTACTTTGTTCTTACCAATTTTTTAAAATTATTTTTTCTTTATTGATTTAGAGAGAGAGGAAGGGAGAGGAGAGAGAGATAGAAACATCAATGAGAGAGAACCTTTATTGGCTGCCTCCTGCACTCCCCCCCAACTGGGGATCGAGCCCATAACCTGGGCATGTGCCCTGACTGGAAATCGAACTGGTGACTTGGTGACTTGGTGCATGGGTTGATGCTAAGTCAGTGAGCCACACTGACCGGGCTGTTCTTATCAATTTTTCATTTTTACTAAAATACATGAGTTACATTTTTCTCTTTGCTTAATTGTTTGAAGAAAATTTGCTCATCTCTGGAGAATTTATTTTAAACAGTACATATAGTCAAGTATGGCCAACTATCTTCATTTTATAATTTTGCTGAGAAGGAATATATTATTATTCTTTCTTATTCGTACCAAATTTTATATGTGTGTGTGTGTGTGTGTGTATATATATAATTTTTATATACTACATATTTTTAAATTATATATGTAATATGTACATATTTAGTATCTTTACAATTTTAAGTATTGGCAGGGGGATCATGGATGGAAAATGCCAAAAAGCAAAGTTACAGTACTTTGGTGGTTAGCTAAGAAAGTGGCCTACTGTTAAGGATATATTTTAGGGGGAAAAATAAGTGTTGTTTTTTTTAAAAATCATTTTGGGATATAAACTTTTGCTGCTTTATTTTATTAAAACAACATTTTGCTTATTGTTAGTAGACAAGTGCCATAAATTGGTATTTTTATGAATGGTGCCCTGACCAAAAAATGCTATTGTAAGGAAAGTCATGCTTGGAAAATCCGTTAAATGTTAGCTGGAGGACAGGTTTTGCTTAATCTTATTGCGTCTTATTTGGGTGCACTAAAGAGTTTCTTTGTGGGATCTTGAAGAGGAGAGATAAAAGTTAAATCCTTGGGAAATGACCGTATGTGTCTGTACCAGTAGAGTTGTATCTTTTGAAGGCCCTGAGGGCATGTTAAACAAATACAACTTTTTAAGACATAGAATTTTTAAAGTGTCTATCACTGTCGTGTAACAGTAGCACTCTGTGTTGTCAGTCTAGAGGTTGGAGTTGTGTTTGAGGTGATGAGGCAGGACAGAAACTGAGCCGGTTTTGAGGTGTTGAACCTTCTCTGGGAGTGGGGGCTGTGGTGCACACACACTGCCCCCTGCTGGGAAATGTATGCATTAGCATGCTGAGCAGCTGGGCTTGGAGGTTCCTTACCTGTCTGGTGACATATTTAGCTTAACCAAATAGCAAACAAAAACATGTGGTCTTTATAGTGCTGAAGGATATTGCTGTGATTCTTTCCCACTTTAAATATGCTATTAATGTAAAATATGGCAGGCTCTTTGAATTTTTAATTAGGTTTTTATTTTGATGAAAATAAAATGAGATTTATTTGTTTATTTTTGAGAATGGAAATTACCTGCACCAGGTGGGTGCTTTTTTGGTTATGCTTACATATGTACAAATATATTATCGTATATTTATATCTACATATAAATTTAGGAATCAAACCTAACCATTTAGAAATGCTTTACAGAATTTATACTTTTCAATTTCAGTTTATTTCTAAAGTTATTGACACTTATGTCCTCAAAGTTCTTAGCCCTGTGTATGAACTTGTCTTTGTTGTAAACATCCAAATGCTTGTTAGTTTTAGGAATGCTGAAATCATTACACCAACTTCAAGTTGAAAATCGAAGATTAGAGGAACAAATTAAAAATTTAACTGCCAAAAAAGAACGCCTTCAGTTATTGAATGCACAGCTCTCAGTGCCTTTTCCAGCAATAACAACGAATCCTAGTCCATCTCATCAACTTCATGCATTTTCAGCACAGAATGGTAAGAAAATATTTATTGAGTGTCTATGAAAAGTAGGCTAGACTTTCAATGCCTTTTAAATAAGTGAATAATAACTTATATGAAGATGTAGAAAAGGAATGATAGGTTATTTCAAAGAGCATAAAGAATCCTGTTAAGTGATGAACTTGAATTTGTTGTAACTTTTGCACATAATTTAACGATAAATTTTATTTAAACGTGTAATGAGCCCTGGCCAGTTTGGCTCAGCGGTTAGAGCGTCGGCCTGCGGTCCGGAGAGACCCGGGTTCGGTTCCTGCTAAGGGCACGTACTTCGGTTGCAGTTTGTCCCCGGCCCTGGTTGGTCGTGCGGGTGGCAGCCACTCGATGTGTCCCTTCACGTCGATGTTTCTCACTCTCTCTCCCTTTCTCTCTCTCCCTCCCATTCTATCTGTACAAATAAATAAATAAATAAATAAATGTGTAATGATCCTTTTATTGATTTAAAGCCATGGTATTCAATAGAGAGATAGATTTTTAAATTTAAATTGGTCTTAGGAAGAGCAAGACCTAGTTTTTAAGTGTTTTTAATGTGGGCTTCAGGATAAGCTTTTAGTTAAGCCTTTAATCTTATACAGAATGTAATTTAACAGGGTAAATAGGTTTCTTTTTGTCTTTTATTATTCTAGCTCCTACTACTGATTCCTTGAACAGCAGTAAGAGCCCTCATCTAGGAAACAGCTTTTTACCTGATAATTCTCTTCCTGTATTAAATCAGGTAATTTTGGCGTGGTTACTTTCATTTGTGTATTTTGCTTATGAACAATAGTATATCACATTAAATGATTTAAAAATTAAACAGTTTTGCTGTGTTTCTAACAATTTAAATTTCTATTTTTTCTTCTATTAGGACTTAACCTCCAGTGGACAAAGCACCAGCAGCTCATCAGCTCTTTCTACTCCACCTCCTGCTGGGCAGAGTCCAGCTCAGCAGGGCTCAGGCGTTAGTGGAGTTCAGCAGGTCAATGGTGTGACGGTGGGGGCGCTGGCTAGTGGAATGCAGACTGTAACATCCACCATTCCTGCAGTGCCTGGAGTGGGTGGGATAATTGGAGCTTTGCCAAGTAACCAACTGGCAATTAATGGCATTGTAGGAGCTTTAAATGGAGTTATTCAGACCCCTGTCACAATATCCCAGAACCCTGCCCCCCTCACCCACACAACTGTACCACCTAATGCAACTCATCCAATGCCAGCTACACTGACTAACAGGTGAGAAACTTACTTGAATATATTTTAGGTTTTTCAGTGCAACATGACACCATGCTGTCTGTGTTTTAGATTGGGATTTTTAATGTGCTTCTTGTAGATGTACTCTAAGAAATTAAAATCCACCAAACTTTTAAACTAAGTATATTATACTGAGAGTCATTTATTTTTGAAACTTAATTCAAATTAAAACAAAATTAAACCACTCTAGTAACAAAACATTAAATATATTCTGTGCTGAAAATTTTGGTCTTGATCTATGATGTACATTTTAAATACTAATTTTTCTTATCCCATGTATGTTGCCATCATGTATCATAAATTCTGAAGAAAAGTAATATTGTAATGAAGATTACATATGAATATTGGTTTCTTAAAATTGAGCTATGTAATTTTGTTAGTTTTATGATAAAATTTTTTTATATAGAATGAAGGTTTAAATACTTATTTTGAATATCTAGGGAGTAAGACTCACTGTTTCATTGTATTAGAATTTCATTTGAATTTTTCTTCAAAATGAGACTAACATGTTATTGAACATACTTCTGAGGAATAAATAATTTTAAATGGATTTTCAGTGGGTACTGGTAAACGTTTTTCTGGCTCTCTCTTCGGTAGTGCTTAATTTAACTGACCATTGGGACCATTTAAAAAGTTAGGTCAAATCACTCAGTAGTATGTTTGGATTATTTCTTGTTTTAAATATGTGTTGCTTAGTGTGGGTTAAATTATTCTTGAATAATTAAGAATTATTACATGTGCATGTTATAAACACATGAAATTATCTATTCCATATAACAACCTAGTGCCTGCTTGGTTTACAATAAAGGAAAACAAAACATATCTCGACAATGTGAATTCTTGTTTATCTGTATACGTGCTCCCACGCATGTGCACACACACTCACACACGTACAGAAATAAGAAATTTGTACATCATTGTTTTCAAAAAGTATTATGATTAAAAACTTGACTTAACTTATTAAACATCAAATCAAAGAGTGGTCTTTCATTTTACATTTTAAAAAACATTAAAGCTATAGAGTACAAAGTAAGAATTTTAATCTTTTTTCAGTGCCTCAGGACTAGGATTACTTTCTGACCAGCAAAGACAAATATTTCTTCATCAACAACAATTTCAGCAGTTGTTAAATTCTCAACAGCTCACACCAGTAAGTGCTTCCTTTTGATAATACTTGATTTTTATTAGGAGAAAGTGATCTTAGTTATAGATATTTAATGTGCCTTCTTGATTACCCACTTTGTGAAATAACATGGTATGCATAATGCAAAAATAGTTTGTCTTATCATTTGGCATAGTTTGTGATACCTGTAGTGGAATTATATTAATTCATTTACAAATACTGGAACATGTACTTTGGTACTCTTGTAGACTCTGGTGATAGAGTGGTGAACAAGACTGCATTTTCGTGGAGCTGCATTCTGATAGGGGAGATGGACAATACAAAATATATGCTTTTTGATAGTGATAAATATCGAGAAGAAAAATAAAATAGAATAAAAGGGGTATAGAGAACAGTGACATGAGGGACATTTTTGATAGGATAGTTCAGCTTCTTTGAGTAGGTGACTTTAGAGCACAGATCTGAATAAAAGTTGAAGATGCCCGACTTTCTGACATGGAAATAGCAGAGAAAGCACATTCCAGGTAGAGGGAACAGCAGTTGTAAAAAACCTCACCTAGACAAGTGTTTATATTTTTGAGACTGTAGAATGAGAGAGGAGGTTAATGTAGAGGAGACAGGTCAGACAGGTGAGCTTGGACCAGAAGATCATAGACTGTCTTGTTTGGCTGGCTGTAGCAAGAAATTTAGATTTATCGTAAGTGTCATGGAAAGCCATTGGTGATTTTTTTAAAAATATTTTTTCTTTATTGATTTTAGAGAGAGAGGAAGGAAGGAAGAGAGAGAGAGAGAAACATCAGTGAGAGAGAACATTGATTGGCTGCCTCCTGCATGCCCTCCACTGGGGATCGGGCCTACAACGTGGGCATGTGCCCTCACCGGGAATTGAACTGGCGACCTCTCGGTGCATGGGTTGACACTCAGGCAGTGAGCCACACTGGCCAGGCTCATTGGTGATTTTTTTGTTGTTGTTCAGGTAGAGTGGGAGGGAGGGAGAGGAATAGAGAGAGAGAGAAACATCGACATGAAAGGGACACATCAAGTGGCTGCCTCCTGCACGACCCCAACCAGGGCCAGGGACAAACTGCAACCGAGGTACATGCCCTCAGCAGGAACTGAATCCGGGTCTCTCTGGACTGCAGGCCAGCGCTCTAACTGCTGAGCCAAACCAGCCAGGGCTCATTGGTGGGTTTTTTTGTTTGTTTTTTTTATCCTCACCCGAGGATATTTTTCCATTTTTTGTACAGATAGAGTGGGAGGGAGAGAGAGGAAGGGAGAGAGAGAGAGAAACATCGACATGAAGGGACACATCGAGTGGCTGCCACCCGCACGACCAACCAGGGCCAGGGACAAACTGCAACCGAAGTACGTGCCCCTAGGGGGAATCGAACCCGGGCCTGTCCGGACCGCAGACCGACGCTCTTAACCGCTGAGCCAAACTGGCCAGGGCTCATTGGTGTTTTTTTTTATTATTATTATTATTTTTTAGATGGTTTTTTGTTGTTGTTGTTTTTGTTCAGACAGAGTGGGAGGGAGGGAGGGAAAGAGAGAGAGAGAAACATCAACGCGAAAGGGACACGTTGAGTGGTTGCCACCTGCAGACCCAACCAGGGCCGGGGACAAACTGCATCCAAAGTACATGCCCCTAGGGGGAACCGAACCCGGGTCTCTCTGGACCGCAGGCTGACGCTCTAACCGCTGAGCCAAACCGGCCAGGGCTCATTGGTGGTTTTTAAAAAAATCTTTTTATTATGGGAATTTTCAAATGTACCAACAGAGAGTATAATATACTAATCACCTAGCTTTAATAATTATCCCAATTTTTTAAAAGTTATGTTTCATATATTATCACCTTTTCTTTCATGAATTTTTAAAGAATTAATTGGAGGCCTTTGAACAGAATAGTGACATGATAATCACATTTTTAAAAGATGAGATGGAGGGCCCTGGCCGGTTTGGCTCAGCGGTTGGAGTGTTGGCCTGTGGACCAGAGAGTCCCGGGTTCAGTTTCCACTAAGGGCACATACCAAAAAAATAAATAAATAAAAAATAAATAAATAAAAGGGTATGGAAAAGTATCAAACATACAATTTCAGAGAAAAAAAAAGATGAGTTGGAGGCCCAGCTGATGTGACTTGGTGGATTGAGCATCATCCCATGGACTGAGAGGTCCCAGTTTAGTTCCCGGCGAGGGCATATGCCTGGGTTGTGGGTTCGATCCCCAGTAGGGGATGTGCAGGAGGCAGCCGATCAATGTTTCTTTCTCTCACCTCAGTGTTTCTCTCACTCCCTTCCTCTCTCTCAAAGATCAATAAAAACATGAAGAAAAAAAGATAAGATGTAGAGTAATTTGTATATGTTAGGAGGGGAGATGAGATGGTGGCAACAGTAGAAACAGGAGCAGTCTAGTATTGGTCTCTTAAAATAGTATGATAAATGTGATGGAAACTGGAATTGTATGTTTTGAAGATCGAACCAACAGGACTTGTTTGTTGGACATTCAAGAAAAAGAAGAGTCCTAAACAGTTGGATGTTAACTTTTACTAAGATGTAGATGACTAGAAGGAGCAGGTCTTGGAGAGAAAACAAGTCTGTTGTGGACATACTGAGTTTGAGATATCTGTTTAGATGGTCAGATGAGTTGTGTACTAGGCAGTTACTTGAGTCTGTTGTCCAAGGAAAGATGCAATTGGATGTATAAATCTGGGGTCATTGCTGCATATGTGATGTTTAAATTCACAAGATTTGATAAGACCTGAAGACTGAGTGCTGGACATTCTGGAAGAGGAAAATAATCTAGTAAAGGAAGTGGCCATTCGGTTAAGAGGAGAACTGAGAAAGTGGTGTCCTGGGGCCCCCGGAAGAAAATGTTTCAAGAGAGGGAGGGCTCTGCTGTGTAAAATGGTTCTGGAAGGACAGGTAAGAATTGACCATTGGATTTGGCTGTCTAGAGATTTTTCATAGATGTGGTTTTGGTGAGAAGTAAAACCTCAAAAGGAAATGGGAGGAAAGGAAGTGAAGGTGGTATAGGAGGCCACTAAAGATGTTTTACTGTAAAAAGCGGAAAAATGGGCACCTAACAAGAAAGACATGGTCTAAGGGAGTAGTTAGTGTTCATTTTTTTTTTTATCCTCACCTGAGGACATTTTTTCATTTTCTGTTCAGATAGAGTGGGAGGGAGAGAGAGAAACATCGACGTGAAAGGGACACGTCGAGTGGCTGCCACCTGCACAGCCCAACCGGGGCTGGGAACAAACTACAACTAAGGTACGTGCCCTTAGCGGGAACTGAACCCGGGTCTATCTGAACTGCAGGCTGACGCTCTAACCACTGAACAAACCACTAGGGCTTCATTTTTAATATGACAGCATATATGTATGTTGATGGGTTAGTTTGTGGTGCTGAAGAGAGGAAGAATAGTCCTAGGAGTGTATTAGCATTCTATTCTAAAAAGAAGGCAGGTAGAGCAGTTGTCAGTGAATTTTATGATAGAAGGTTGAGGAAATCCACTTTTAATGTTTTTTGTTTTTGTTTTTTATCCTCACCCAAGGATATTTTTTCCATTGATTTTTAAAGAGTGAAAAGGAAAGGGAGAGAGAGAGAATCATCTATGTGAGAGAGATGCATTGATTGGTTGCCTCCCACAGGCCCCCTAGTCAGGGCCAGGGATAGAACATGCTACCCTACAGTGCTCATGCCAACACTCTAACCACTGAACCACACCAGCTAGGGCTACTTGTAATGTTTTTAATTTTTAAAAAATGAGGGAGAATGGAATTGGTGGTGGTTAAGAAAATGTGGCATATGCCCTGGCCGGTTTGGCTCAGCGGTTAGAGCATCGGCCTGCGGTCTGGAGAGATCTGGGTTCGGTTCCCGCTGAGGGCACGTATCTCGGTTGCAGTTTGTCCCTGGCCCTGGTTGGGTCTTGTGGGTGGCAACCATGCAATGTGTCCTTTTCACGTCGATATTTCTCTCTCTCTCTCTCTCTCCCTCCCACTTTATCTGAACAAAATATCGAAAAATGTCCTCGGGTGAGGATTAAAAAAAAAAAGAAAGAAAGAAAATGTGGCATAGCCCGGCTGATGTGGCTCAGTGGATTGAAAGGTCCTGGTTCAATTCCTAGCCAGGGCACATGCGTGGGTTTCAGGCTCCATTCCTGGTAGGGGGGCATGCAGGAGGCAGCCAAGCCAATCGGTGTTTCTCTCCCACATTGATGTTTCGATCTCTCCTTCCCTTCCTCTCTTTCTAAAAAAATCAATAAAAACATTTTTTTAAAAAGAATATCTGAAATAGCCCTGTCCTTCCACTCTCTCTTAAAATCAATGGGAAAATATCTTTGGGTGAAGATTTGAAAAGAAGAAGATGTGGAATAGATACCTTGGGGAAGGGGGTAAAGAATAAACTAAAACAGGTGGAAGTGTGTGGCTCACATGCAAGGACGACACTGGCTGGCCCTCTGTAATATATTTCAAGTGAGACCACATTGGTGTGACTTTTCTCCAGCCCCATTTCCCTAGCACACTTCACTGGGTTAGACTACCTGGAGAAGGTACTATTTAAGACCTTCAGCCTTTATTTATAATTTCTTTCCAAAATATATCTTCCTACTTTCTTGATTTAGTCAAAAATATACTGAAAATATTTGCTTTGATTCTAAGGTATCATTTTCACTGTCACTGTATTTACAGTGGCATAAAGATAGATGGTATGTAAATTCTTAAATGCTTACGCTAAAATGTGATCTTGTTTTCTTATCCAATGCCTCATCTTAATATGAAGTATTAAAATTAAGTTTATTTGGGGTTCTTCCTATTAATCAAGGTTTTACTCTAATAATAATAGCACATATAGTTGTCTCATTTCCAGGACATGGTTGATTAAGGAATTTTTAGCACAAATTGTTGCTCAGAAACCATAAGGGCTGAAGCAGTTTAAACTCTACTTTTTCCTTGGTCAACCAAGGTTTCAAGGTAAAGTTTGTTCATTTACACTCATTGAACTTTATATAGACAAGAATTTTATTATAAGGCATGCTTTCTTCTCCCATTTTAAGAACTCTTGCCCTGGCCAGTTTGGCTCAGCGGTTAGAGCGTCGGCCTGCGGTCTGGAGAGACCTGGGTTCAGTTCCGACTAAGGGCACATACCTCTATTGCAGTTTGTCCCCAGCCCTGGTTGGGTTGTGTGGGTGGCAGCCACTTGATGTGTCCCTTTCATGTCGATGTTTCTCTCTCTCTCTCTCTCTCTCTCTTCCTGTCTCTCCTTCCTACTCTATCTGAATAAAAAATGGAAAAATGTTCTCAGGTGAGGATAAAAAAAAGAAAAACTCTTGTTTGACCCTATTCCCCACCACCTGCTACTGTTTCTCTGCTCACTGTCTCCTCCCAGATGGCCTTTATATTGCCAAGTCCTGTGGTCATTTCTAGTTTCATCTCATTTGACCTGGTAGGTGACAGCATTTGACAGAGTTGATCATTCCCTCCTTGAAACACTTTCTTACCTTACTTTTCAGTATACTACTATCTTGTTTCTTTTCCTAACTGGTCATTCCTTTATAGCCTCCTTTCCTAGGTCCTCTTCTCCTCAGCCTCTTAGAGTGTTCTAGAATTGAGTGATCTCCTCCAGTCTCATAGTTTTAAATACCTTTTGTGTATAGATACTTGTCCCGCTCGGGCCTCTCTCTGGAATTTCAGACGCCTCTATCCAACTGCTTGGATATCTTACTAGACATTTCCAGCATAACATGTCCAAAACTGAAATGGTAATCTTCTACCACAGCTGCTCCACACAGTGTTCCTTCCTCAGCTGATGGCAAGTCCATTCTTCCAGGTGCTCAAGCAAAAACCTTATAGTCATCCTTCACTCCTTTTTCTCTGATGCCTCACATCAAATCCATCAAGAAATCCAAAATAAGATTGTGTCACTTATCTGCTCAAAACCTTCCACTGGCTTCCCATTTTACTTTGAGTAAAAGACAGAGAAGTGCTCACAGCCTACTACTGTGAGGCCCATATTCTTCTCTTGCCTCCTTGCTCCCTCCACTCCAGCACCCTTGGTCTCCTTTGATCACATTGGATGTGCTTTGATGTAGCCCCTTAGCACTGGCTGTTTCGTCTACCTAGAACCCCCTCCCCATATCCACATAGAGAATTCCCTGATCGATCTATTTCACATGACCCCAACCCTGTCATACTCTGTCTCTCACACACTTCTCTTTCCCCTGACCTTTAGCAGTAATCATATTCTAACATTTTGCCTTTCCCTCTTCCCCTAGAGTGGACTACATAAGGACAGTGATTCCCACCCCAACCCCCAATATGTTTTAAGTACAAAATACATGTCTCAATACATTGCCTGGCACATAGTAAGCACTCAGGAAATGAATATATGCTTGGTGTAAAGAATAGTCTCATAACTACATGAAGAAAGCTCTTTCTGTTGACATGAATGAGAACTCGAAACTTATTTTAAGTTCCCAGAATTATAGGAAGGATTTGACCGACATAGTGCATTCTAAAGTAAAATACAGATAATTTATGAGTTCTCTCAGTTGCTGTTCTTGAACATTGTGGATAACCTAATTTTAGAATAGAGGTCTCCTATATTTCTTGGCCCTTTTTGAAAAGAAGCCATTTGCTGATGTTATTGACGTTTTATATTAGACAGTTATTATCTAGTGTAGCATATTTTCCAGATGAGATGCTAGTTTTCTTTCTTAGTATTATAAATGTGACATATTTAAATATTAAAGAAGAAAATAGAAAAGGCAGGCTTTACTGATGGCTGAATTGTGTGATAGGGAACTCATCTTCTCTCACATGTTTTTACCTAAGGAGCAACATCAGGCCCTTCTGTATCAGTTAATGCAACAACATCACCACCAGCAACACCACCAACCTGAACTACAGCAGCTACAGATCTCTGGACCAACACAAATACCGATAAACAACCTACTTGCAGGTAGTCAGGCACCATCACTTCACCCAGCTACCACCAACCCATTTCTTACCATCCATGGCGATAATGCAAGTCAGAAAGGAACAGTAAGTATCTTTGTTGTATCATATCTAGAGAAATAAGAATTTTATTATTCAGAATAATTTTATTGATTAATTAGAGATGATTCTCTCCAGTCTCTCCCTTTTTTAAAAAAATATTATTTCACTGGTAATTTCTTCTTAAAACCAGGTGTTTCAGCAGCTGGATATTCTAAACACAAAGGAACTAAGCGAGTTTCTATATCCCCTAAGTATATCAGTTTGAATTTGCATGTAAGGTTTGAAGGCTGTCTTATAATTCAACTTTTCAAATGAAAATTTCAAAATTTTTGAAAATTTTCAAAATGAAAAATTTGAACATTTTATTTATAGTGGTATGGGACAGTCCACTCAAAAGCCAATACTTGATGCTTTGTGAGAATCTTTAAACTGTTTAATTATAGAACTAGGTTAGATATTTTAGGAATATTTTTATTATTTTGCTCTGAAGTACTTCCTAAAACTGACTTATATTTAAAATAAAATTAATATATAAATTTTAGGTTAATACGACTATTCTACAAGGTTCCTTTAAAAAGAAAGTGAATGGGTTCTGGGGCGGAGAAGCCGGGAGGCGCGGGGGCCGTTTAAGCGGCCTCCCTTCTGCCCCCAGCCGCCCGGTCTGGCCCCCGGACTGACCCATTCCGGCTCTAGCTCGCCGGGCACCCGGCGGCCTCCGGAGCAGCCTAAGCTCATGAGGGCTGCGCGCCCGGCCGCCGGCGCTGATGAGACGGAGCTCCTGGGCCGCGAGGAGGATTGGAGGATCAATGCCGGTGAAGAATCGACTCCAGCAGTTCATGAACCACCGGGCCCCAGCCAATGGCCGCTACAAACGTACTTGTTATGAACATGCTGCTAACTGTTACACTCACGCATTCCTCATCTTCCCAGCCATTGTGGGCAGTGCCCTCCGTCACTGGCTGTCTGATGAGTGCTGGGAGAAGGTAACAGCATGGGTTTAGGAATGGGCCTCTGTGCCCTCTTCATCGTTTCCACAGTATTTCACATTGTGTCGTGGAAAAAGAGCCACTTAAGGACGGTGGAGCACTGCTTCCACATGTGTGACAGGATGGTGATCTACTTCTTCATTGCAGCCTCCTACGCGCCCTGGTTAAATCTCCGTGAACTTAGACCCCTGGCATCTCATACGCGTTGGTTTATCTGGCTCATGGCAGCTGGAGGAACCATTTATGTATTTCTCTACCATTGAAAAGTATAAGGTGATTGAGCTCTTTTTGTACCTCACAATGGGGTTCTCTCCAGCCTTGGTGGTGACATCAGTGAACAACACGGATAGACTTCACGAACTTGCCTGTGGAGGCCTCATTTACTGCCTGGGCATTGTGTTCTTCAAGAGCGATGGCATCATCCCATTTGCCCACGCCATCTGGCACCTGTTCGTGGCCATGGCAGCTGCAGTGCATTACTATGCCATTTGGAAATATCTTTACCGAAGTCCTACAGACTTTATGCGCCATTTATGACCAGTTGGGTGTCGGTGCCAGTATTATTTCAGTCAGAGCACTTGGGGGTGGGGTAAGAGCTGAGTGTTGCACAGGAGGAGGAAAAAAGACAACTGCACTGACTTTCTTGGTATAGTTTGAATATAATCACTGTGAAAGTATAAATGCTGTGTTCTGGAATGTTCCAGAACAAATAAGGTAGTGAATTAATTATCCCATTCCACTATCATGCAGGACTCTGGATAGACTTGGCCAACTGATGTTTACAAACCAGAATTTTGTATTTTAATTTTACAGATTTCACTACATGATTTTTCTAAATTACTAGGTCAGGTTGTCGAAGTCAGTGCAATCGCAAAGCTTACTTTTTAAGAGAAAATGGTTTCTATCACTTTCCCATCAGCTGTGTAAAGAATCATGGGCAGAACTTACACGTTTCATCTTGGCATAACATGGTTATTTTTTAAACAGAAACGTTCCATTGACGCGCATGTCCGTAGTTCCTTCACGTGAGTTTCTGAGCAAGCTGTCAACATTCCACGAATGAACAAACATTATACCTCTTCAGCGGTTTTATTAAGCATGGAGACATTGCCAATTTTTAAAACCGCAGACGTTTTCTGCCAGCCTCTGACTCTGAATTCTGTGCTGCTTCGGGCCATGTACTTGACCTAGTTTGGTTTACTTGTGATGGGTGAAGTATTTTGATATCATTAACTTTTTCAGAAGATTCAACTGTTTCTCTGCGCCTTTGTGATGTTTTCTTTGGGGTCTTTGTCAGCGGTGGATGAGTGCTCAGTCTGTATTCTCCTATTGTTCGGTTGGCCCTCCGCTGAGACTGAGGAGCATGAGGAGTTAGAGTGAACAGTGGTGTTGCCTCTTTGGTGTCTGACAGTGAAATCATAGCTCTCTATTAGTTTGATACTCATTTTTAAACTGTGGAATTAGATGCATCAATTCACATTTCTACCTTTCTTCTGTATCTCCTGATACCCTTTTTTTCTTTTAGATGGAAAAATATTTAAAGCATTGTTTGACAGATAGAAACTCATGTATCTATAATCCATAGGTTATATCCTGGCTTAGTGGAGTGGTATTTAATATATTACTTTTGGTTTTCCCTCAGTGTCTTATATTAAGAGTAACATATTAGCTGCTGTGTTAATTAATACCTTGCTGGTGTTTGTTTTTTTTTTTTTATCCTCACCCGAGGACATTTTTCCATTTTTTGTTCAGGTAGAGTGGGAGGGAGAGAGAGGAACAGAGAGAGAGAGAGAGAAACATAGATGTGAAAGGAACACATCGAGTGCCTGCCACCCGCACGGCCAACCAGGGCCAGGGACAAACTGCAACCGAGGTACGTACCCTTAGCAGGAACCGAACCTGGGTCTCTCTGTACCGCAGACCGACGCTCCAACCGCTGAGCCAAACCGGCCAGGGCTAATACCTTGCTGGTGTTTTAATAGATGAGACCACCTTGCATTTAGATCAGGTGCTGATAGTGACTGTTTTCTAATAACTGGCTTGATCAATGGAAATGTCAGTTTGAAGATACATTTAGGCTTGTTTACTGAATTTTTGTACTGAGACGGCTTTACAAAAGGGTTTATTTTGTGTGTACATGTTTAGAATTCTCTGATTTTGGTGAATTATAGAGGGATGAAGAACAGAAGAACTGATATTCACTAGTGAACTCTTAAATAGGCAAGGTTCTCCATCATAGCACCGGCCAGACCAACCCAACCCGCATGATTCTCAGCATCTGCATTCCTGTTGTTTTATTGTGTATATTTTATTTTTAATATAGTAACTTTTATGGATTCATTAAAAGTCTGCTCAAAAGTAACACTGTCAAAACCACTAAAATGTATGTAAAAATTTGTGCTGTCGACTAGAATAAAATTACTTGGATTTGTTCCACCATCTCTAAAAATAAATAAATAAATAAATAGAAAGTGAATTATAATCACATTTATAATGGAATTTAAATTTTTATTAATTTTATGTTAGTAATAGCAACTTACCTTATCAATGTGCAAGTTAAAATAAATTAAAAATGGATGCAGGAACAGTGTACTATACATATAGTAGTACACATTTTATGGCTGTTTCTTTCTATCAGTTCTCCCCCTTGATCTACTTTACTGGAATGTAAATGTTCTCCTTAACTTTCAGTTCAGTGCAGAATCCTGTTAAAGGAAGATTATTGGGATATAGAGTAGAGACTGGATATCAGGAAAAGGAAGAAGAGAAAGTGTTAAAAGTCATAGTGTTTGCTATTTTCTATAACTTTGAAAGCTTGCTATTTACTGTGCTTTTAGTATTTAGAAAATATAGTTTGTATTTAGTAACAAGAATTGGTTTAAAATGTAGCTTATTGGTTTTTATTAACTTTTCAGTGCTTTTTGTTTGCTTCATTGTTTCTGACTTCCTGATTGTGAATACATACATACTGTCCTTGTCACAAACTTAGTTACCTCTCCATTGTTTTGCTGACATGGGAAATTTAAATGATTCGGTATTAATTTAGAGATTTTTTCCTCTTGAGTTTTTTCTTGTGTTAAAAGTGAATTAATTTCGCCCAGTCGGTATAGCTCAGTGGTTGAGCATCAACCCATGCACCAAGAGGTCACCAGTTTGATTCCTGGTCAGGCACATGCCCAGGTTGTGGACCAAATCCCCAATGGGGGGCACGCAGGAGGCAGGCAGTTCATGTTCTCTCTCATTGATGTTTCTCTCTCTCCCTTCCTCTCTCTCTAAAAGTCAATAAAGGAAAAATATTTTTTTTAAAGAGTGAATTCATTTCAAGCTAGCTTTTCCTACAATAACGAATTAATGGAAAGCCACAATAATAAATAATATAAAATAAACAGTCTTAATTACCTAATGGAGAAAAGTGAGGCTGGAAAATAATATTTAAGAGTACCTGCTATATGCCAGACATCTTTATTAGATACAATAGTGTGTGAGATTTCGATCTTTAAAATAATACTAAGCTGTAACCCCATTTTTTAATACCTTAGTGAAAGTATACTCAAAGAGGTTAAAGATTAAAGGACAAACAGCATGTGTCAAGTCAGAACCCATGATTTTGTTAATTCATAAAAATTTCATTTTCCATAATACCATGTTTCTACTTCTGTGGGAAAGTCTGTTTCAGGGGATGATTTTTGCATTCATTCCTTGTGAGTTCTGTCCCTCAGATGCGCGCTTCTGTCTTTATCACTGAATTTTTTTTAAATGTTTTTATTGACTTTTTTTTAGAGGGAGAAAGAGATAGAAACATGGGTTGGCTGCCTCCTGCACACCCCTTACTGGGGATCGAGCCCGAAACCCGGGCGTGTGCCCTGACCCAGAATCAAACTGGGACATCTCAGTCCATGGGACAATATTCAATCCACTGAGCCACACCGGCCAAGCTGTTTACCACTTAATTTTATGTTTAAAAAATCACGGATAATGCCCTGGCCGGTTTTGCTCAGCGGTTAGAGCGTCAGCCTGCGGTCCAGAGAGACCCGGGTTCGGTTCCCGCTAAGGGCACGTACCTCGGTTGCAGTTTGTCCCCAGCCCTGGTCGGTCGTGCGGGTGGCAGGCACTCGATGTGTTCCTTTCACATCTATGTTTCTCTCTCTCTCTCTCTGTTTCTCTCTCTCCCTCCCACTCTACCTGAACAAAAAATGGAAAAATGTCCTCGGGTGAGGATAAAAAAAAAAAATCACTGATAATGTTTACCGGTAAATTTATATCTTTATATTATGCTGAAAAATATCTATGTTGACTTGTAGGAAAAAAGGAATAGCTATATATACCACATTTTACCTCACTTTTAATTCCAGCTTAGAGAATATTACCTCAAATGTGGGCCAAAAATTGATTTAGCTAATGCATCTGATTTTGTTTGTTTTAACTGCAGAGACTTAGTGATAAAACCGGGCCTGTCGCGCAAGAGAAAAGTTGACGGTTGAGAAACATCTAGAAATCGCCTACCCTGCTGTTCCAGCACTTCATTTGGCTGCTGTCGCAGTCCTCTTACCCCTATGAAGAAACGCAGCAAGAAACTAACCGCACAACTAAGGATTAAATGCCACAAGGACATTCTTTTAAGGCTTTGATTGATTTTCTTGTTGCTTTGTTGCACTGAAATGGAATTCCCATATCCCCCACCCCTCATTCAGATTTTTTGAACTTTGAAAGAAAATTTAATGACTAACTTTTGTCAGTGAAATAAATTACATGCAATGAGTTTATCAACCTATGAGAATTTTAATATAGTTGGTGCACAACTAATTTTGTTACAAATTGGAGAGATGAATAGCAAAACTGAAGACTTATTCCATTTATAAACTATTTGATTTCATTGTACGAGTTGGAATATGAAAATATATTTTGTTTGGGTTACAGCGTGTTTGCTCTGTGAGTCAAAACTTAAATTTCAAGGAACTGTCCAATTTCTTCTGGAGATTTTTCGTTATTGCAAATAAATAGATCATCAACTGGGACTTGGCAATCTTTGTTATAAAAATTTCCTTTTTAATGGCCAATTTTGGTAATCAAGTTAGGATGGTAATGTCTGCTTCTGCTAAAGATAATTTTCTTTTGCTAAATGCTTTTTCTTTACTGTTAAGACCTACTCATATTTCAAAGAAACTTTGAGTTAAGTGAGTTCTAAGGCTGCTGGGGGAACCAGATCAATTCAAAGTGAAAGACTTCTTTCAGAAAGAGGGGCCACTCTGGAAGCTGATGATAGGGTTTGGCCTGAATCAAGTGCCTGTTAGTACCTCCATGGTGTTGAAATGGCTCTAGACAGCTGAGCTTGCACTATGCTATAGTCAGTCCTTGTAGTAGTAGGAACAGTCAGTGTTGCACCAGCAGCCTTCCCCATGGTTCTGCCTTTATTAAAAACTCTATGCCACCGTAGATAGCTCAGGCAAAAAACTATTACCTGGGTATTTATCCACTAATGAGTCACAAGAAAAATGAGTGGATTTGGTAAGAATTTTTGTTTTTTAATTTAAATAACTTCCCATTTCTGACAATTTCAAATGAACAAAACAAGACAAGCAACCCACCACTACAGTTCCTGAAACAGGTGAAATCTGTATTACAGCCTTTCTACTTTGGGTAGCGACACTTCTGGTGTGACAGCATGGCAGTGTATAAATTAAACAATTGGGGACACAATCATTGAACTGTTCTTAAATGTGTGAATTATTAGTGGAAAAGACCCAGCTGTAATTAGACCTCCACTGTGTACTTAGCTGGAAGAACATGTTAATTCTGCAATATGTCTCTTGGTTAAACATTGCACAGTTCTTACCTCATTTCTGTAAATAAAGTTTTGTGAATCTGTTTTGTATTGTGAAAAATTCATAAGATAACATTGCTATTTTGATTTGTAATATTTCTAATTGGTAGATTTAATTGAAAAGTAAAATTAATTTATTTTTATATGTTCAGGGGAATTTTAAAGTCAAATCTTTTGTAGATAATTTAAAAAATCGGTGTGGTTTATTTTACTTATTTAACCCACTGGTTGTTATTCTGTAACAATTTGTATAAATGGTAAATTTTGAATGTGTTGTTATTTTACCTAGATGTAAAATTCCACATGTATTAAAGAAAATGTACAAAGTTTTTGTTAATAAAATTTAATAATGTTTATAACTCTGCCATTTTTTCTAGTTTTATTGAGATATAGTTGATATATAGCACTATATAAGTTTAAGGTGTACAGCATACATAATGTTTTGACTTACATATATTTTGAGGTGATTACATTATCATTATTTCATATAGATACAAAAATTTTTTTTTCCTGTGATGAGAATTCTTAGGACTTATTCTCTTAATAACTTTAAAATATGCCATAGAGCAGTGTTAATTATAGTCATCATGTTGTACATTATATTCCTTATCTTATAATTTAAGATTTGTACCATTTGACCAGTTTTCTCCTCCCACTCCTGCCCTTCCCTGCCTCTGGTACTTACAAATCTGTTCTCTTTTTCATTTTTCTTGCTTTTTTTTTTTTCCTTTTAATGTAGATTCTACAAATGAAATCATCCAGTATTTGTCTTTTTGTCACTCAGTATAATACCCTCAAGGCCCACTGTGTTGTCATAGGGTATCTTTCTTGTTTATGGCTGGATAATATTCCATTGTATAGATATACTACAGTTTCTTTATTCATCCATGGATGGACACAGGTTGTTTCCATATCTTGGCTACTGTAAATAATACTGCACTGCCATAAGCATGGGGAAGGGGACTGCATATATCTCTTCCAGTTAGTGTTTTGTTTTCTTCAAATAAATACCCAGAAGTAGAATTGCTGGATCATGGGTGGTCTATTATTAATTTGTTGAGGAACCTCCATATTGTTTTCCTTAGTGGCTGTACCAATTTACATTCCCAACAACAGTGCACAAGTGTTCCCTTTTCTTCACATCCTTGCCAACATTTGTTATTTCTTTTTGATAATAGCCATTCTGAGAGGTGTGAGGTGATATCTCTGCAGTTTTTATTGCAGTTCTCTGATGATTAATGATGTTGAGCATCTTTTTATATACTGTACAGTTGGCTATATGTCTTCTTTGGAAAATGTTTATTCAGATCTTCTGCCGATTTTTAAATCTAAATGTTTTTTCACTATTGAGTTACGAGTTTTTTTTTTTAATGTTTTGGATATTAACCCCTTATCAGATATATCATTTGCAATTAACTTCTCCCATTTGGTATGTTACCCTTTCATTTTGTCAATGGTCTCCTTTGCTTTGCAGAAGCTTTTCAATTTGAGATAGTCACGTTTGTTTATTTTTGTTCTTGTTGTTTTTGCTTTTGGTGTCAGAGTAAAAAAATTCTCACAAAGAACTGTGTCAGGGATCTTACTGTCTCTGTTTTCTTCTAGGAGTTTTATGATTTCATGTATTGTGTTCAAGTCTTCAATTCATTTTGAGTTAATTTTTGTATGTGGTGTTAAGATGTTGGTCTAGTTTCATTCTTTTGCATGTCACTGTCTAACCATTTATTAAAGAAACTATTCTTAACCAATTGTAAATTTTTGCTTCCTTTGTCATAAATTAATTAGCCATGTATGCATGGGTTTATTTCTGGGCTCCCTATTCTGCTCCATTGATCTATGTGTCTTTGTTTATGCCAATACCATACTGTTTCAATTACTGTAGTTTTGTAAGACAGTTTGAAATCAGGGAGTGTGATGCTTCCAGCTTTGTTCTTTCTCAAGATTGATTTAGCTATTTGGTGTCTTTTCTGGTTCCATACAAATTTTGGGATTGTTTTATTTCTATGCAAAATGCCACTGGAATTTTAATAGGGATTACATTGAATCTGTAGATTGCTTTGGGTAGGTATGGACATTTTAACAATATTCTTTTAACCCATGAGCATGAAGTTTTATTTATTTGGGCCTTCTTCAATTTATTAATGTTTTGTAGTTTTCAATATGCAGGTCTTTCACCTCCTTCATTAAATTTATTCCTAGGTAGCCTGGCCAGTGTGGCTCAGTGGACTGAGCATCATCCCATGGACTGAGAGGTCCCGGTTCCATTCCCAGGCAGGGCACATGCCCGGTTGTGGGCTTGATCCCCAGTAGGGAGCATGCAGGAAGCAGCCGGTCCATATTTCTCTTTCACATTGATGTTTCTATCTCTCTTTCCCTTCCTCTCTCTCTAAAAAATGGGGGGGGAAACAAAGAATAAATGCAATAAAGTTGCAGAATACAAAGTCAATATGTAAAAATCTGTTGTTTCTTTACACTAATAGTAAACTATCAAAAAGGTTAAGATAATCCTATTTATAAATGCATCAAAAAATAAAATACCTAGAAATAAATTTAAAATATGTTTTATTGCTTTTTCAGAGAGAGGGAGAGAGAAAAGTCTCAGTCCATGGGACGATGCTCAATCTACTGAGCCACACCAACCTGAGCTATTACAGTTTTTTGACGGAGTGTTTAGAGTTTTGTATAAATGTATATCATGTCATCTGCAAATAGTGACCGTTGTGCTGCTTTCTTTCCTATTTGTATGTTTTTTGTTTTCCTTGCCTAATTGGTCCTGCTAGGACTTCCAATACTACGTTGAATAAAAGTGGTGAAAGAGTACATATTTGTGTTCTTCCTGATCTTAGGGGAAAAGCTTTTAAATTGCCACAGTTGAATATTATGCTAGTTGTGGGCTTGTCATATTATGTTGCCTTTCTTATGTTGAAGTATGTTCCCCCTATACCCATCTGTTTGCAATTTTTAATCCTAAGTGGATGTTGAGATTTGTCAAATGCTTTTTCAGTATCTAAGGAGATGATCATAAAATTTTAACCTTCATTTTGTTAATGTGGAGTATCACATTGATTAATTTGCGGGTGTATAATCATCTCTGCATCCCTAAAATAAATCCCACTTGATCATATTGCATGATCCTGTTAATGTGTCCATGAATTCAGTGTGTAAATATTTTGTACAGAATTTTTGTATTTATTTTCATCAGGAATATTGGCATGTAATTTTTTTCTTGTAGAGTCTCCTGTGTGCAGCTTTGATATCAAGTTAATGCTGCCCTTGTAAAATGAGTTTGGAAGGGTTCTCTCCTCTTTTATTTTTTGAAGAGTTTGAGAAGTATTGATATTTTTGAATGTTTGGTTAGAGTTCACCTGTGAAGCAGTCTAGTCCTGGACATTTATTTCTTTGGAGGTTTTTGATTACTGATTCAATCTCCTTGATAGTAAAAGGTCTGTTTCAATTATCTATTTCATGATTCAGTTTTGATAGGTTGTATGTTTCCAAGAATGTATCCATTTCTTCTAGGTTGTCCAATTTGTTGGCATATAATTGTTCATAGTAGTCTCTTATGATCTCCTATATTTCTGTAATATCAGTTGTAACATCTTTTATTTCTGATTTTATTTGAGTCCTCTCTTTTGTGTGAGTCTAGCTAAAGATTTGTCAATTTTGGTTTTTGCGCCTGGTCCGCACCATGCACCTGGCACCCTACACTGCTACACTCAGAGCTGTGGTTACCCGAAGGGCCAGCGGGTGCCTGGCCCTGGGCGGAGGCTTGAGGCTGGGGCATGGCCCTGGAGGGCTCCTCGGCTGCCTGTTCTCTCCCAGGTTTCTTCGTGTAGAGCTCTGGATGCACGTGAGCGTGGAGCGGACTGGGGCACCTTGAGGACTCTCCGCAGGTAGAAGTTAATGAGTTTGTTCAGCCTCAGCGACCTAGACAACAGAAAGCCGGTCGCCGCCTCAGCCTGGGTGGATGAACAGCACGCAGCAGCGCCAGGCCTGTGCCAATGCCCCCTGGAACAGCATCCACAACCAGGTGATCGCATCTTCCAGCGCAAGGGGCTGCCCGACCAGGAGCTTTTCATCCTCAACAAAGGCATCAGGCAGCTGCTGAAGACAGCTGGGGTCCTTCATTACAGAGTACCTGCAGAACTACTTGCTGACAAAAGTCATGGTGATCCTGAGGGACAAGATACGCTTCTATGGAGGGCAGAAGCTGCTGAACTTGCTGGCAGTGACATGGGACTTCTTCAGCAACGTGCTGCCCACACTGCAGGCCATCTCCGAAGCAGTGCAGGGCAAGGAGCCATCGGTGCGCCAGCAGGCCCTGCCACACTTCTAGAACACCTTCCCCCTCAGCATGAAGCTGGAGGATGCACTGGCTGCGCCCCGCCCGCCCGCGTGCCTCTGCCCTGGTGCAGAAGCTACTGGTGCTCCAGGGCATGCACTTGTCCTGGAGAGTGACGGCAGGAGATGCCATCCAGAAGGCCTTGTCACTGTGCCTGGGCACCTATGGTTTCTACTCCAGCAAGGGCTCTTTCACACACTCCTGTGTCCTAGAAATGCATTCCTGCACCAATTCTGCCCAGGGGACATCCTGGCCCAGAACCCGACGGTGCACTCTAAGGGCTACAACATGCTGCTGCTGAGCCATGCGGTGGAGCATGAGGTGTGAGGCACAGCGGTCCATCGGAGACACTGGCATCTGCAGACACGCAGTCTCTGAGATGATTCCTGCCCCGACCCCTAAGACTTCACTGACACGCCCAGCCAGGGCCCCACAGGGGACTTCATAACCTTCTGGGGTCCCCAGTTGGTGCCCTGCCCCAGCAGACTGTACCCTCCCACGCAATCTCCTGAGCCCGATGCAGCCTGCAGTTCCCCGCCCTCCTGCAGCCGCCAGAACCTGGTGGACTGGATCGTGGAATCCGTGGACTTGGATTCGGAAGGCATCTTCCTTGACTTTGGCCGGCGCAGTGGGTCTGGCACCTGGAAGGTTGAGGGGACGAGGGGTCGCCAGAGCATTGTGTGAGGACCTTGTGTTTTTACTGAGCCCAAGTGTGTGCCTGTAACGTGTGTGTGCAAGTTTTTAACTCTGTCCCATCCATCTCCAGTCTGCCCCAGCCACTTTGGCATCACCCTCTTTGTTGGAAAAACCATCCCTGCCCTGCCGCCAGCACTACTCTTTTCTGGGGTACCTGCACCAGCGGCTTCACCTGTCTATGGCAGGTCACCAGGTACATGGGTCAACCTCATGTGCACGGAACTGACATCACTGCTCACTCCACCCCTCAGCATGCCACATCCACACCAATCCCCTTGGACACTTGGAATCTGGGGGCTCAGTCAGGCCCCTAGAATGA